AATACACATAAGAAACAATCAAATTCATGCTAACAAGTTTTAGAGTCACACTGACGAGATATCATTCGGGAATGACGATGTGACAATCATATTATTAAATGCTGAATAAGTACATATGCCATGACTATTGATCACAGGTCGAAATCAAGAACTGGTCCCTCATACCCTGTTTCCGTTCGATCAATATATATTGATTCACTTTCTCAAAATAGACCAGACCGGCCTTAGAGTTGGACTGTCCCTGACATGGTCCAGGTCCCGAGAGTGCCCCACAGACAATAGAAATGCAATTCATTGTATACAGTCCTATTCATTCATTTCCCGGTAAGCATCTATTTACGTCGGTTGCGCCCCACGCCGCTCGAAGGATACGTGGTATTGTGCAGGCCTAATGGCCTAATGGAAGTTTGTATTTTGTTTTTTTTAATCACAGGGGGTCTTCCCTTTCATACTCTCGACATAATAACAGGCGATCAGCAGACATTTATAAAGAGTGCTTTTAAACTGACCTGGGACATAGGGACACAACATTGATGTAAATAGAGAAAGAGAAAGAGAGAGAGAGAGAGAGGGGGAGAGGAGGGGGGGGGGGGCAACGTAATCACTGATTTATATGTAGTGATCCTGTAAACATATTCCTGATTTTAAAGTGTTCCAAGTTCCTACCCACTCTCTGCGGGGAAATTTCCATGCTCTTTGGAATAACAAATACGATTATATAGCTTTATATACACAATATTATCATTCGTACTATATGCCATGATAGATGTAGTTAATAAATAGATAGGCCTATGTAAACTAAAATATTTAAGATCCATGCGCCCCGTATGATTCCCTAAAATTATGCCGCTGCTATAGTTAAATTTAAAAAAAATAAATAAAAAAAAAATCTCCCTAATTTTATGCCGAGAATTTTGTAATTCGTGCTTCATTGACCCATCATTGATGTGAAGAGTTTATTCTGCAGTTAGTTTTCAGCACTCTTTTGTGTTTCTGTGTGCCTGGTCGAAGGCCATTTAACCAGGGAGATCTCCCTGATTAAAACCATGGTCCATGATTAAACATAAAAATGACAGGAAATTTGGAATTCGTGCAGCATTGGTGGGAAGAGATTATTCTGCAGTATGGATTCAAGCTATAGCGAAAGGGATCTTTATGTTTAATCATTGACCATGGTTTCAAGGTACCATTTGCAGGCCAACAAAATATAAAGGTTAAATTCCAACGGCATTTGAAAGATAATACTAATTTAGAACTTCCCGAAAAAAAGGTGGGGCTTGAAAATGTCTTCAAGTGGGAAAATAACGACTATTAGTTGTCAAATCGACTTAGGAGCTATATAGCCAATAAGTAATAGTCTTGATTTTCAGACCATTGTACCGAATGGTCATACATTTTATGCTGCACAAAGATTCAATCAGTTTAATTTTGGCCATTACAATAAATGGGTTATTGATGTAGACAAATGCTCATGTACCCTCTACAGCTCATTTTATGTATGTTATTACCAAAGAAGAAAAAAGCCAGTCAGTCACTCAATAGTGTCTGACAGTGAAGTCTAGCAAGTAAACGGGTTTCCTTGCATAATGTGAATATTAGGACACTGCTAACATTTAAATTTCACAGATAGGACATACATGACATATTCATAATTCCTGCAAAGTTCTACAGAATTTGAGATTGGCTGCAAAAGGGACAAAGTACCTTTAAAGGCCTTTGGCCATTAAATCGAATTTGACAAAGAAACACAAAAGAGTGTTGGACTTAGAGTTAGGATCGGTTAATTTGTCAAAATATTAAATTAGGTTTCAAGGACTGAAAACTTTTAATACACGTGACGAGGAAGCCGATTTCAGTCTATTTTTCTATTAGGAAATGGCGACACTTCAGTTATCTATCCCAGCATTAAAAGCACCTGATTCCCACTATATTAGGCCTAGGTAGAAATGGTAAACTTCCGGTCTTTACTGAATACCTGCATTTTGTTGAGAATCGGTAAATCAGAATGACAACAATTGCGGGTCTCATTTTCACGGCCCGTACCTCCATAAATCATAATTATATTCTACATTTTCCTGGAGTAACCCACCCACCAACTGAACAGGTAAAACGAGATCTCAAACTCAACCAGAACAAAATAATTTCCGTGATACACTGGACTGATATCACAGTACCAACTTTGTTTCTCCTGGCAGAATAATACCGCAGTTAACATTACAAAAAGCCCTTCCTTTTCTGCGACAGTCCCATGGCATTTGCTCAATCAGTGTAAATAGGCCAAGGCAAATCCGCAAATTGACCATTTTTCGCGGTTTCTTGGAAACTGACCTCCTTTCGTGTCTGATAATGATAAGGCCGGGGCATTAATTAGACTTTCGCATTACAATGTACGTGCTTTCCACAGCTATGGCGAGGGTCAGTCTGGTACGGTATTATACCTAATAAGAAATCGAGGGGTGGAACTTCGTGGGGCGACATTTGAGGGGTTTCACCAGTTACGTAACAAAAGAATAATTTGTAGTCATTTCTATATAGCCTGTAAATTGCGACTGAAACCATTCAACGTGCACATCAAAATTTGGAATAAGTTTATGAATGACATACTGTTGTTAATTTCAATGATTATTTTCACAACGTAGGACCCAGGGCTCTTCTTCTCGGAATTAGCTGGCTAATTATAGGGCCAAGGAGTTAGATCGAGTCTACCGCTTTTTTGGAGTGCCAAACGTAAATATCTTTTACACAAATCCTCCAAAAAACTGAAACTAAACGAAAAACACAGTCGTTAAAAATTTGTAACTACTTGAGAAAAAAAAAATCATCCTGAGGCAATTTCCTTGGCCTTGTATGTCACCTTTCAAAATGTGCAAATATTACAATGGCGTAATGTTGAAGTAATCCGAACTTGGTTTCTATGGGACATACCAAAAGGCATTGAAATAAAGAAAATTGCCCTTGGATCTTGAGTTGATTTTCGAATGTAGTTGCGATAGTGTTGAAGATATAAACTTGTCACCATGAAATACCTAATAATTTTACTCATTTTATATCTCGACTAAATCAGTTGTGTTTACCTGTCTTGTAACATATGGATTTCTGTACATCATTGGACTAGGGTTAGGTATAGGTCATGTAGGAGGTCCATGGGTGGATCCAGTGGCAGATTCGGTGGGGAGGGGGGGGGGGGGGGGGAGGGAGGAAGGATTGTTTTCATAGAACTAAAACCTTACACCAATCATGTATTCATTTACTTATTTACTCACATATCTTTTTCTTATGTTATGGTTTTGTTTGTTAAAGAATTTCAGGACTAATTTAACCCAAATAATTACCCTTTGCCGACATAGTCAAATTTTTTAAAGAAGGAATTTTGCTAATTTTACCATGAAGCGGTAATTTGGTAACTTTTCCTAGCATTGGAGATGAATACAGACAGCGTGATCAATTGTTCTTGAGTTGTAACATCCTTGTCAATTGGAACGGCATTGTGCACAGTTTTTTTACGATGTAGTTTCACAAAAATCCTGCATGCACGAAAACGTTTCTCTTTCCCTTTTGTAGAGTACAGTTTCTGAGCAAACGAATATCACTCATCGCTTTTCTCGTTATTCGGTGTGTAATGTGTGGTTTTCATTGGCTTCGATACAGCGTTCACTGGAATAGGAGGATAAAAATCAATAGCCGAGACGTTTTGACCAATCAGAGGGTTGCAGGAATGTTACTCGGTAATTGATCAATTTTGGGATTGTCGTACTCGCTTGGAGGGTATTGCTGGTAATCAAACATACATTTTGTAATATTTTAGAAGTGAGTATTAATTTTAAGCCTTCATGATATCTATAAAACTATGGAACCTTACACATTTTGTAAGGTTTTATTAGAAATACAGGCAGTAGAGAACTAATGAAATAGAGTAAACTCACAACATGATCCAAACACCCCCATAATTGTAGCGTATTGGAATAATCCAAGCAATAAAGTGATGAACGTGGAATTTGTGGGCGGAGCCACAAGATAGCTGCCTGTTCTCGCCGTGACCGTATGTGGTACGTGTGCACGTTATGAATGCGACAACGTTATAGTTTCCTCGTTTCGAGTAATGAATATTCATTACCGTTTTCATAATACACTTGTCCACTCACTCCACACACTTGCATCGCAGCACGTACGAACGTACGCATTGATCCACATTTCGCCGGCAATATCTGAACAAGCGCCAAGCTACGTGTATTACAATAACAGTCCAGCTGATTCTCACTGCAAATTCACTGCAGCGGGCCCTGAAAATAGCAAAAAGAGGAAGTATAAGCTATACACGATATAATGAGGATGCTGTTCGTGGAAATTCTACAGGGTCTTTTGAACTTCGTACACGGATTATATTCTTTATAATTCAGCTGTTCACGGCGAAGTGTCTCATTCTGGATGGACATTCAGTGAAAGCCCATAGCCAAGGAATACGACGTCTTCTTTACATGCCTTGTTGTGTGTGTGAGTGCAGTTTCTTCGCTTCACATTTTAGGCTTGTGTGTTTACGGTCCGAGTCGGAGAAGCGGAATCGGCATTCCCTTTTTTCTCTCCTGCTCTCTCTTCGTCTCTCTCCAGGGACATTGGCCTGCTAATCTAATTCCTGGAATCTCTCTGCTTGGCTGACATCTTACCTTTTTACTTCGCTCGCTGAGTGCGCTACAGGCCAGAGTACAACTTGGCGTTCTTGGTGTACGCTTGTGCTGGCGTTGCTGGAAACATTACTAGTTTATAGTACTACTTCTCAACTCTACATTATGAATTACTAGACTAAAAGTCGCCGTCAGTATTATGTACTTCACTCGTACGGACATTCAAGTTTGATAACGTCAGGTATTATCCGAGGAATATACGCTCTATCCAACAGCGTTCGTGTACTCTTCTCCCTCGATCAGACACCACTGCAGTATTCCGTGTATTATTATCATGCTTGGAGCAACCAGTGCCAGGTCTCTAGCTACGATTCTGTGATATTTTTGTATCGGAACCTGTTATTTCTTTGTATGCAAGCGTGGTAGCCACATGCCGCCACACACCATGAACCATCATCAAAACTGTCGGACTGCTCGACGGGGCATGCCGGCGCCAGCGGGCCAGGTACAGCTACCACCGGCCAAACCACGTACCACTCAGGAGGATCTGGAAAGACTGATCAACACATTAAATAGTCTCCAGATGTCGGGCTGGTATCATGGTGCCATGACATACCGTGAAGCTAAACTCAAGCTAAAAAGCTGCTCAAATGGGACCTTTTTGGTCCGGGACAGTTCTGATGATCGTTACCTCTACACGCTTAGCGTCAAGACGCCGCGAGGGACAACCAGCGTTAGGATAGAATATGAAGATGGACTATTTATGCTCGACTCTGAGGAATCCCTTCGCAGATCCGTGCCAAGCTTCGATTGTGTCATCAAACTATTACAGTACTACATGAGGATGAGCCGGGAGAAAAATTTTGTGGACGCTAACGGGAACGGCTCAACCATTAAACCAAAAACGAGATCGGGACAGTTAGTTTGGCTTGAGCCATCGGGCCGAAAGGACACCGAGGCCCAAATCATCAAACCACTCACCTCTAAAGTGCCCAGTCTGCAGCATTTATGTCGCTGTACCGTCAACAAAACTGTAGAACCAAGATATGTTAATGATCTATGTATACCACGTACACTCAAGAAATATGTTCAGGCATACCCATTCAGTCTATGATACATGTTTTTATCCATCTGGGATATAGACGATGTAGCCAAAACTTAAAATAATTTTAATGATTGTGACTCGGATTACGTGGTACATTTCGGAGGGCAGGAATGCGCCTATTTCCCCGAGGAAGGTAAAGAGACACTCGACATAAAAACACATTTAATTTGCATCGATCCTCATTCCACTTCGTCATAAATGTGAAACACTCGTCCTTATTTTAAAGCAGCTATTGTGTCAAAGTTAGGCAGACTATATAATACATGAATCAACTTGTGACTGGAGAAAAATGGAACCTGCAAACAACATGCAATGCCACACGTGTTTTCACCTAAATAATTTAACTGCATATCTTTACGATTACGGGAAGCAATTTTAATCTGGAAATGTGTTTTAAGAATTGAAAGAAACTAGAAACGGATATTTTTCGTGATGGTCATCTCAACGTAACATTTCAGACGCATACCTCATTCACTTTCCACATGTTGATGACACGGAAAGTTATAAATTATCAACATTTTTGCATTGTGATCCCTCACCATTTCTGGATTTTACCACATCTTATGAGATCATAATGACTACCCGTCTTTCCTGTGAATGCTTGATTACTCAAAAGATTCCCTGAACCTTGGCCCACTACCCGTACACAAAGGATTTTCCTTCACTCCCTCCAAGACTCTTTTTCTCTTTTGTTTAAACCACGTCCTGCTTGGAAGTGTATCACCTACACCGTGTGGTAATTTTCATGGAAAACAGTCCGAGCCTGATCCGCAGCGGTTTTTCTCTGCAACCATTGTCGGTATTCATTGTGGGCGACGATTTGACCACAACCCTACGTAGTTCTATTCTTCAAGAAGGCGAGGAAATGACCACAGACTGACCCTATGCCCTGTGTGCGCTTGTGCTTCATCACATTCTCTCCGCCTCGATTCTCTCTCACTTTCAAACTGTACTCGTAGCGTAGTTGACCTGAAGAGGAAGAAAGGGTTATACAGAAGGAAATGCCATTGTGTTGTATCCGGCGTTTGATATCACCACTTCCCAACTCATTTTCCTCCCTTTTCAAGAGTTCATACAGAGTTCAATAGTGAAATCTACCTTGCATTTATTAATTATTAACGTAATTTTTCGTCATTCAAAATGGCAGTGTTTAATAATAATTTTTTACTCCCCATGAAAAGAATATAAAACTGAATTGGCATTTTGAAAGAATTGTTGATGCTTATATCGGACCGACGGGTCATGTGTCAGGCAAAACTGTGCCCTTGGCATGACCCTAGCCGTTAGGCCCATAAGGAATTATCATCATAATATTATAATATTGAATTTCTCTCACCCTCAAGATATGAAGGCAAGTTGTAGTATTTTTTGGTAGGATAACTTGTTCGCTGTGCTCACAGAGAAACATTAATTGTGAATTCAGCCAAATATGGTGTCGGCGTATTACGATGCAATACTATGGCTTTTAATAGATTGTACCCTGAAATTGGACAATTTCCTTCAAAATTACAAGCACTGCAAATACTGTGAATCTATTTTATTTTACCACAAGAGAGGCTTTGGCAATTGACAGTTTTGTGAACATTACATGCCATTTTTATTACCTTTGTAAATCGTGAGTAAGTCCAAATTGAGTCTTCATTATTTACTTTAGTAAGAAATAACTTCAAATCGAAATATCCATGTGATAGCGGATATTGCGGATGTGGTTCTCAATTGTATTGGCCATACGAACAACGAGAAAGGAAGCACATTCGTGTTGTCAATAATTGTTCGACTTGTTACAAATTCAGTTTTGTCTGACCGAGTATGCATAATGATTTTATTTGTAATGGCGGAGAAAATCGTTTGCCGATATTGATTTGGGTTACATAATAGCCGATGCTTTGTATTGGAATGTTTGACACTCTCCTTCAATATTCTCTTTGGTACTATACCTTTACATTATCATTACGGAGAATTTGGTAGAAGTTTTATTTGGCTCGTTGAAACGTCCTTTTCTCCCTTATTTGATGAAAAATTGTCACTGACGCAATTATACCTAACCACTTGATTAAGTTCTGCAATTATTTTGGTAAAGTAAGGAAAAAGTTATAAGCATGAGTCATCAGGTAGTTTGCCCGAACGGCCATCGGAGGAACCCGCCTTTGACCACTACAAGTAACCATTGTCTGTACGATAGGGTTGACCAAGCGTGAGGCACTTTCGATCTTGTGATGTATGTACTCCAGTGTCCTACGTAATTTTAATTTTTTATTGAATCACGAAGGCCCCTGAGCTGACCTATACTTTGACAATTTCAAATGACTCGATCAATTAGTCATTAGCCTTGTCGATTCGTGTTAAAGTTACTTACAGTCCAAAGCGTGGTCATTATTAATGACAAGGATCTGCATTACTATGCATGTATTTTGTGCTGTTGGCTTGGTAGGCCTGTATCAAACGTCAAATATTGTGCATACAGATCACGAGTGGTCAATCTTTAGGTTTGCAAATGTATACGTGTACTTTACCACAACGATCCTGTTTACTTAAAAACCGCTATTCATCCGCGACAATAACCCAAGTTCCAGGAATCCGCCGCTTAATAATAGACCAGGAGAGGGATAGGTAAATGCAGTAGAGGTTATTTAACATACACCGTACCTTTGTGAAGAGATAAATCAGATGTGCGGCTGTGTACTGTTTGTGTGTGCTGTATACGAGTCAGTGTCACTACTCCTTTCTGTGAATGCAATGTGGGCAGTGTACACAACCCACCCAAGCACACATTACATGCATATATTATGTATACGACAGAGAAAGCCTATATAGACACGGCAAGGGCCTAGCAAATCTTACTCTTAGGTACCTGTACATGTATTTAGAATTGCCAAAATATTTCGGTGTTACTCAGGACATTCAACATTAAACGCCTGCTTAATATCAATTAACCGCCACATTTCCTTGCCTCCAAAAACGCGATATTTTATTTTTCTAAGGTTCTGATAACACATATTTCACAGTAGCGAGATATGTGGTCCGATATTTTCACTCAACAGTGCTTTTGCGCCATTAGATATTCCCCGTATTTAAAGTCAGTTTTTCAAAAGGATCATCATTTATTTTGACACAACGATTATGATAATAAGTTACCTCATTGGATGTTACATTTAAAAAACGGTATTACCGAGGCTGCAATCTAAGTTTTTGACTCTTTGGAACAACGGAAATGTTCGCACTTATTACTGTTGTAATGTGGCATTATCTTCCTAAACATTCCCAAAATCAACGTCATCACCCTGTCTGCATATAATTTTCGACATAAATATTGTGCCAATCAGTTATATTAACGATTTTAAATTATTGATATAAACCTATAATGACATGGTGGCTGTAAATGTTAAAGAATGATAATACCATAATATTGGCTTTTGAAGTCAATATTTATTACATGTCAAGTCAAGAAGAAGTCAACTGTTCATTGTCATCCCCATACTCGTATCAAGCAGGCCTAGTTATTATTTTACTATGTAATACATGATGTGGCCGGTAACGTATGGGATACATACCATGGACTTGCCTTGATGCTTCGGTAGATCAATCTTTGCAAATAATAACAATTTGTAGGTACAACTGAATATGTGACAAAGGAATAGATAACTGTTGACTCCACTTTCCCTCGTAAATTGCAATTTAAGTCCCAGACATAGGTATTTCATTTCTTGTTAATTGTAAGACTTAAACTGGGGGTACATTAAATTGGAGGGTCAAATTCCCTTCTTTTTTTCATGAAAGGCTTGGCTCGCGCCATGGTGTACGGGTCACTTTGGGTCATTGCTTGGCAAATTCTGGGATTATGATACGATCTACCTGCTTGAAAACAGGGAAAAAGTATATTAAATTTCATTTTTAAGGCTTTCATTTTGAGGGTCAGAAGTTTTGGGAGGTCATGCGAAAAATGGCTCAATGCATTACATGTGTATATGAGTTCTGAACAGCACTATAACGGGGTGAGGGAATTGAATAGAGTCGAACATTTCAGTATCTGCATTATCCCAGATACATTATGATAAGTGTTAACATGATGTGGTTATGGTGGGATTAAAAAAAAACATGTTGGACAATATTTCTTTTTCAATTATAATTGGATAATCTTGGACATAAATAGAGAAAATGACACATGAATATGCTTATTATTAATTGAAGGACTTAATGTTTCTTTTAGTCCTGGTGTCCACATCCTACAATATCATTGGACACGTGACGGGATGTGTAAGTTATGTAAATTTCATGTCACATGTGTACTCCATTTAAAAAGAGAAAAAATGAAAATAGGCCTATCTGAATGAGGCGTGTCAATGTGCTATAAAACCGTGTAATGGGATGTGAACAAACCTGTTGGTTTATTATGTGTCACTTTAATATATACTATAAAAAATGAATAGTAAATATATATATTGAACATGCTTTCGAAAGCAGGTTCAGTTCTAATTTTGTTATGAAAGCCTTCAAGTGCAATATGCTATATATTTTGAATACTTGTGTTTTGATATTTTTGTCTATGTCATGCACTGTACATGTAGTAATAAAAAGAATCTAATGAAATGTGAAACAAAGTATGTACTTGCGTTTATTTCGTGTGATGATTTTTTTTTTAATTGATTATTTGAGTCTTCACTATTTTATCACCATGTCGGCTTGCGATGTGATGGGATACATGACTTGTATTGCCTTTAATTTTTGTTAGATAATCTTCGAAAGGAGATCCTCGTATATTAAGGCCCAGGTATTACGTGAATTGGTGTGCAGTATGCGATCGCCTTTTGGAGATTCGAGCGTTATCAGACCATAATATTGTATTAGTGCAATTTACTTTGTTAATGTAATATAGTAAGTTAGGATATATTTCCCATTTAGTGGCTATGCGGGTGGTCATTGTGGTTTTGTGTGGGATTTGTATTCACACTCAAGTCAACACTGTCTACATATTTATTTATAAATTTGTCTATAATATTACATGACAACTTAAATGTACTCCAGTATCATGTTGTAAACATTCTTACCGGTACAATACTAGCTAGACTTGCATCATACACAATATAACGCCTATACCCATGCAGGCATCTGTAGCAACTAGCAACATGCATTCACTTCATCGAAGGAAAAAGTGCCAGTGCCTTAGAACTATGGTCTATATATTCCCACTCGCTCTAATGTTATGCGAGCATGTTCAAAATCTACCGACTCTCCGAAATTAGATTCCAAGTCCCCGTCGCTCGGCTTTAAATGTCACGACCGATTCCGCCAAACGACTGAGCGAGCGAGGGAGGAAAGGAGAGGGAGAGAAAAAAATTCATTTTCCCCGAAAAAAGCAATTGAACCTGTCCAATGGATGACGGATGTGCTGTTAACGTTAGAATTTTGCTGGAAGTGAAGTGAGTAAGGGCGGGGAGATTTGAAGGAATGGAGTTTTCTTTGGAGAGGGGGGGGGGGGGGGGGCGGTAAGGCAAATAATACTGATTCCTAGTTTTCTTGTCAAGATTTTTCTGAAAAATTTAGAAGGAGCGGGTTTGATGTTACCCGATATTTTATATCTTCCTGTATTTGAGAATGCTATTGGGCTGATTACAACAAACAAATTAAAACAAAGGGAGGAGGGACAAAAGGGAGGCTTAGCACGAGGAGTTTGGAATCAGTCTTACCTGGCGTTTGTGTTATCTGCTCTTTTTCGTTTGAGAAGAGTAAGAGAAAAATGTAAACAAAATATGGAAATTGTAAATGTAAAGTAAAACGTATGATGCTTGTAAGCAATACGAAGGAGGAGAATAGAGGGCGGGCGACAGAGAGATATATATATAGAGAGAGAGAGAGAGAGAGAGAGAGAAAGGATGGAGTTGGATTTGGTAGAAAGAACGAAAAGTTGAATGAGAAATATAACCCCAGCACTGATTAATTTATATCTTCAAAAGAAGCGAAGCACAGGATTTCACTTGAACTTTTGAGTAACAGTGAAGGACCAGGTGAGTTAAGCGCAGTAAGAGAGGGTGTTGCATCCAATTTATCTGCAAGTTTGAAAACTTTCAACTAAAAAAAAGAAAAACTTAATAAATTAATTATTGTTTAAATAATAATTTCATGAATAATGATTAATTATGATTAATAAGTGAATATATATTAAATGTATAGATAAACGGATACATTTTTTTTAAATTGCTTAATAGAATGAATTTCCTCTCACTCCTTCTTCCCTTCTTCTATACCTCTTTATTGATTGAGCCCCCAAACATACATGTATATGAGGGTTTTTCTTTTTCATATATATTTATAGGCCTTATTATTTGTTTGGCCTGGACCAAGTACAATATGAACATCAACGCTATACAATGTCATCGGCTCAACGTGAAGGACTTATCCTCTTTTTAAATAAATATTCATCGAAAACTATCATTTCCTGTTGAATTCCATGTGTACTCGATTAATCATGAAATGCGTTCCAGCATTACACCACCACAAATACAAATTTCAGGAGAGAAAAAAAAGCGATGCCACCGGCGAATAAAACGCCAAGTTCATTCTGCGAACACCGGCTGTTTTCCTCTAATCAGATGGCTAGCAGACGACACAATTCACTTTATCCGCTTTCGTCAGTAATCAGTAGCGTTGCCATGACAATGGTCCATCATGAACTAATCATAATGTCGTTTCACCTGTCGTTCTGTACGAGAGCTTTTTTTTTTTCTTCTCGATAATCATTAAATTTTCAAGGTAGAGTACCGGGAATCGGCAACTGTCAAGCCAGGAATACAGAGCATTTGTCACCATTTGCCAGGTATTTTTAGCATCATAATTGAGGACAGTATGTAAGAACGCACATGCGATTTTCTATGAAAGAGGGGACTCGTCATGCCATTCATATCCATCACGCCATCATGGACAGTTTTTAATTTCCTTTTCATTTATATTTAAAAGCGTATCCATAAATTAAACACAGCCTCTATCAGAGAATAACAAATGCAAGAAGAACAGTGTTTCCTCAAATTATTAATCAAGACTTTATTGTATTAAGAAGAAATCAAACATTTTCAGCAAACTTACACTAGAGGAAAGCAGAAGAATCAGATTGGCTGAATTGGTTGGTTCTCTGTGATGAAGTGGCGGTCAACTTTTTTGTTCCAATACTCAAAATGACTCAAATTTCGCTTAGAAAAAAAAATTGACTCAGGAGGTTCTTTGCTCTTTAGAGGACCTATAATAATATGCTATCCATACTAAATTTTGAGTAGAGTCCCAAGGGAGAAGGCACCTTGGATAATAACAGAAATTATAAGATGACGAAGCGGATCCTATTCAAATGATTGGTTGAGAGCATACACGTGACCTGGCATTTATTATACCTAACACGTAATTTTACTAATAACCAGTCATTATTCTTATGAGTGGTCATTAGTATAATCATGTTATAAAACATCATCTTACAAAACAAATAATACATATCATTTTGGTCGGGCATTAGTAAAATTACCCACACTCGGTACCCTAGAAACAGTCCAATCACCCTCGGCTATGCCTCGGGCGTTTTAGACCGTTCCAAAGGTACCTTGTGTGGGTAATTCTTACAAATGCCCTCACTGCTGTGTATTATTTGTATATGAAATATTGTGACGGACACGTATTCGCCCCCTTGGCTTGACACGGAATATTTGTCAGGATGCCCCGGGTCGGCCAGGCGCTCTCCGTCCGTTTGGACAAAGTATATGCCCGTAGCTTGGTGGCTGGAGTTCTTTCACTGCTCTCGTCACAGGGCGTATATCAACAATCGTGCATCCTTCGACTGCAATCGGTCACCCCAATCGTTGTGCACAGCAACAGTCAATTGAACATCCTTCGAGCAATCAATCAATCAATCACCATGCTTTGTCAACTCCTGTCACTGATTCTCGATCTGAATTATCTAACTACGGTTTCACTGTTCTAAGAAATCAGACCAATCATGAGTTGCATATTGAATTCTTTTAATGCGAACCAACCAACATTCAGGGTAAACTTGTTCAACAAGTACAAATGTGGACTAGAAGTAAGACTTCAAGTAAAGACTAAGGCCAGCGCCAATTACAAGTAGGCCAGCCTCGGTGAGGCTGGCCTGTATCGGATACAGTGCAGTGGAAAGTCCTAATTACACAATCCTGACCATCTTAAAAATTTCCCCATACATAACCGTATAAAAGAACAATTATGTCCTCGTTAGTAAAACAACACTTCAACACAACATTTCTACTAATCCCATAAAATCTTCACATATAATCTTCAGTATAACCCCTTATTCCTGATTAGATCACTACTATACAAGTAATATCCCTAAAAGAAACATGATAATTGCACCAACATGATCAAAATATGTAATTTATGCTCATTTTCCTTCAGTTTGGTAATTGCTAAATCAACGATGCACCATATTGCTATAGCGCATGCTCGTACAACAGAAAATGCTTAACCTTCGTCCAATACTAAAACCCTGATTTGTTACACGATTCCCTTCCCTCCCAAGCTTGGTCCCCAAGCTAACTTATCTCTAACTTATGCAAAAACAACAAATCATAACATGTTATCAAAACAATTCAAAACTAAAATCCAAGTCTTTTCTGACAGTTCAAAATGGCTCTTTCCAAAAGTGTTCAACTGTTCTAGAGTTCAAATCATGGGTCTTGGGCTATACCTCATGCTTCACTGGGCCGCCGACTGACACCTCGTTGATCACCTCGCCAACTGCTAGGCTGTTGTCCGGTGGGTCTCCAGCTACTTCTTCATCTATTGGGACAGCCTCTGACGGGTCTTTGGTTGCCTCGTCCACTAGTAGAAGGGTATCTGGTGGATCCCCAGCCGTCTCCTCGTCTGGTAGAATGTCATCTACCGTCCCCCCAAGTGCATCAACATTCGTCGAATCCTCATCCGGTGGAATGGTAACTGAACCACCAACGTCTTGTTCAGGGTGCTTAGTCGCCACCCCATCGCCTCCAGCTGGATTATGAGGACAGTTCTGAAAGAAATGCCCAGAACAATAATTTATTCCAATCTGGACTTGGGTAATCCAGATTCAAATCAAATTACATGCCAAATCCTTATAATTTGAGAACTCTCTCATTTATAGGGCTTATAGCCTCCACTGCTTTGCTTTTCTCATGGTATAGCCAACTATCACCTCCATCACACTTTATATGACATTTTCGCTGTATATTTAACTTTCTCATTTTCACTCCTTCGCTTTCCTCATTAAAGTATTTATGAAATCACTAAAAGTAAATTCTCTCTTTCTCATGCAGTAGTAGAAAGACATCGCATTTATACAAACATTAACACAATACACTTAAATAATTAATTAATGATGCTTTTTGCAGTTGAAATGTAATCCATGTTTCTTTATTTGGCAATACAAATAAATGCACTGATAACAAATAAATAATTATTTACACAAAATAGGTTGTCAATCACTTTTATAAATAACACAACTTGCAAAATATACAAATGTATATCATGCTGTTTGTTCTGACGTATAACTTTATACATGACATGGACCCTTTAAAAACGTATAAGTTTATACATCGTACAGACCATCCAAAAACGTATAAATTTATACATCGTACAGACCATCCAAAACGTATAAATTTATACATCGTACAGACCATCCAAAACGTATAAGTTTATACATCGTACTGACCATCCAAAACGTATAAATTTATACATCGTACAGACCATCCAAAACGTATAAATTTATACATCGTACAGACCATCCAAAACGTATAAATTTATACATCGTACAGACCATCCAAAACTTTTAAATTTATACATCGTACAGACCATCCAAAACGTATAAATTTATACATCGTACTGACCATCCAAAACGTATAAGTTTATACATGGATTTGGAGGGTGCGTGCCATGTATAAACTTATACATATAAACATACGTATAAACTTACAGTGATCCTACAAATTGACCCTCTTAAAGTGATGTGAAACTTTAATAT